CGTGAAAAGTAAACGAAACTGCCGTGTTCTAAGGGCCGGGACAGGCTAGGCAATTAACCCCAGAGAACCAAGGAATGGAAGCAGAAGAAGCATTATAAGCTGACGGCTTTACTCATCCTTGGTTGCTGCCTCGTCGCCGAAGCGAGTAGAGAGAACATAAGAGTATATCACACTCACTTCATCTAAATCATTTTTTTAACAAAAAAATCTAAAATAAAGAAAGATTCCCTGCTGTCTATCTGTCCCGCCATAGGTTTTTCTAAGGCTCAAAGTCCAGAGTTCTTTGACGCTCATGGACGGTCTGTGAAGGGTCTGGGAGGTTACCAATACCGAGCCCCTTCCTGCCCGAGGCTGTTCCATACCCCGGAAAAATGAGTGGTACAGATTCCTTCCAATAGGAGAGGTTCTTAGTTCTCAACCACCACCGGTAGTAAATTCCTAGAGATAGAACCAGATCGTACAACTTTCACATTCAAGCAAAAGGAATGAGATTAACATCCCTACTTCTTTGGTTTAAAGTCTCTACTCGGGAAGTCAGGCGAAGGAAAAAGACCCTTTGGCTTGAGGTGGTGAGTAGAAAGGGGTCGATTATCTATCTATGACGCATCAAATCGACTGAGATCAAGAAATCCTGAGTAACGAGATCTATTCTTCACACGAATCAACGAACGACTCGTCAGATTCGAACTGACATAGGTTTTTGACCTATCTTCTACCAAAAAGGAGCCGCTTTGGTGACGCGGTTCGGGCGGGGGGGCCTGACATCCGCGGGTTCCATGTCAAGAGAGAAGGACGGGACGGGAGAGGCATTTTCGGGGACTAGCAGCTGTTCTAGATGTGGACACCTTTTAGGATTGTTTACATGTTTTGCGTGAGTGTCACTTTGCTAAATTGATCTGGAACATCTTTATTCCCACTGAGCATCAAAGTGCCTTCTACTCCTTGGCATTCACGGATTGGTTATGCAGCAATGCTTCTTGTAAAGATCTTAAGTTTGGTTTTGATTGCCAGTGGCGTACGACCTTATGTGCGATAGCATGGAATATTTGGGTTTGGAGGTGTCGAGCTGTTTTTGATGGAGACTTTATTCTCCCTCATGATCCTAACCGGAGGATTGCTAACGATGTTTAAATTGCTGTCTCTGCTTTCTATTCGAAGAAAACGGAGCCAAGTATGCAGGTAACCAAGTTTCTTGCTTGGGAATTTCCTTCCGTTCAAATAAAAAAAATAGGGATGGTGCTTCTAAGAGGAACAAAGACTTGCATGGTGCTGCCACGGGACATTCGTCGGGGTGCTGGTGGCCTTCCCCGAGACTGTTCAGGAACATCTTGATGTGGGTATACCTGAAAAATTCCTCAACCTTCGCCCAGAAATGAAAGAACTTAAAGGGTATATTGACCTTTCTAAACTAAATGCTAGATCTAACAATACAAGGGCAATGATCAGAAATGCCTCTAGGCAAAAATGCCGCTTCAGTAATAGCCTATCTTTTCTCTAGCCTGGAGCCGGCACTCCTAAACCTAAAGCAGTTAGCAAGCAGTTAACCATCTTTCTCAATATCCTCTACGCCTACTTCTCTTCCGAATCCAAGACTTGTTTCAAACTTTAAAGCAGTCAATCAAGCAGCACTTACCGCTATTCCATATATAGCATAGAGCTCTTACACAGCGCCTAATAGGCTAGCTGAACTATAAAGGCTGGATTTCCCCGATGGAGAGGCAACCAAAAGGTTGTGCTCAGTCTTTTCAGAATCGGATTGGACTGGAGAAAAGAAAGCAATTCATGCAGAATCGGACTGGAGAATGCGATTCATGCAGAATCGGATTGGACTGGAGAATGCCATTAATTGCTATATGAAGTGGAATAGCCAGATGCGAACTGGTGTTACCAGCACAGGATGCAAATAGGTTGCCCAGACGAGGTCTTTCATCCACTAGTACGAGGAAGGTTAAGGAGCTAGGTGCTTTAAGGCTAGCGGAAGGATGTTCTTCCCAAGAGTGGTACTCAGAAGAAGAAAAGGTTGTTGTTCCTGCAGCACTCATTGATACTGAAAAGTGGTCGTGAAAGGAGACTGCTTTTGCTTTGAATGCTTACCCAAGCTCTTGGACAGACTCGGCTGTGAACAAATCCTCTCTTAGAGAATCGACCGTTCACTCATGCTTTGGACGAGAGAAAGTCTGATTAGTCTTCCGCTTGAACGGTGATATCTATAATAAAGAATACCTGTCTCAAGGTAAACAGGAGTTCCCGGCTCAAGCTAAATGATACCGGCGCAAGGTAAGTAAATTCTTTAGTTTAGGGAAGGATCCCAAGTGCCATCGATTTAGCTCTTGGAAGAAGGGAAATTCAATTTTGAAGAGTGGGCATAAATAAGAGATCTTCTCTCTTTCCCGTGCTTTAGGAAGCGAGTGACTCCCGGTCTTATTTAAAGAGAGTGAAATGAGCCAGTAGCTCTGGGAAAGAAGGAAGAGAAAGGGAAGGAATCACTATAGTTACTCAAAAAAAAGGTTCGGAATCGAATCCGCTCAAGCTGTGAACAAAGAAGAAGCTCTTGCCACTGTCGGTCTAAGCGCAGTTGGAGGAAGGGGAGATGGGATGAGTGAGGGTTCAATTCTTTTCCGGAAAGAAAGGTAAGGTGCGGAGCGGCAATCAAGATGGCAAGGAAAGTAATTGATAGAAAGATTGCTACTAACGCTTCGCTAATGAGAGTTGGGAGTTGGCTTACGTTCCTCTGTTAAATAGCTCCGATTCTATCCGAATAAGGGAGAAATAGAAAGAACTGGGTAAGGCTGAACTCTTCTTTTCTGGTAGTTGTAATGCTAAAGTATATTTTTCCTCGGTAAGCATTATCCGTGAAATGACTCATTTCCATTACTGTTTTCACTCCAAAAGAAAGAGAAAGACTCGGGGAAGGGCGGACTGGCGGGAAGGGTGGTACTAAATTGAATTGAGTCCCGATATCCTTCGAAAGTACCTTTTGATAACCTTTTCTCATGCAGAACAGAGAAAGGTTAGTCAGACTGAGGGCGGAAAAAGAAGACGTTTTACTTTTTTTTTGTTTCATATGCTCTTGCGATGCGTACCTGATACAGAGAAATCTTTGCCGCAGCACGAAGCCGTAGTTCATCCAAAGACTACAATTCCATACGTGACAGACAGAATTCAGGAAAGCTTTAAAGGTAACAAGGTAGTTATGAAGTCAACAGAGATGCGCGGGTTCCATTCCCTCTGTCCGGAGGGCTTTCGCTTTATATAGAAGCCCCTCAGCACCCGTACAATCAAAAAAATGGAAATTGAATTCAGTGATTGAGATAGCGACAAGTTAAAGCTGAGAGGACGCACCCATTCCCGAAATCCACTTTAATTAAAGCCTTTTCGAAGGCGCGAAAGTTCGCATTTTATCTTTTCTTCAAGCTTTCGCTTGTATTTTCATAGACTAAGTTTAGTAATCACTCTCTAGTAAAGGCACTCGATTAGCTGGAAAAAGCGCTCTTCTTTCCATTTTATGTGATTTGAAGATAGATATAGATAGAACTCGATCGAACTAAATGCTTTTCGTCTTATCGTATATAAGAGAAAGGTTGCTTTTAGGAGTGACCTTTCTCGATTTCAACAAAACAAGCCGATGGTGATCTCACTTTCGAAAGAGAATAGAAAGCGTACTGACTCTGACTGCTATCTACGATGCGATCAGGGGGGAATAGCGCAAGGGCTTAAGTCATCGATTCAAATCCTATCTTTTTTTCGGTATGCCGCTTCGCGAGCAAGGAACGAATGACAAAGATATATAATAAAATCATGGCTTCCTTTTTGGTTTCATTTTAAGTCCTTATTTTTACTATTTTAGCAACTTTGCTAGAAGTAAAGCTTCTCAAGTGGTGTTTTCAATTCTTTTATTATTTAGTGTTCGATTTAGACTTAAACATCCACGATGATCTCCTGTTATTACTTGTCTTGGTTTTGGTTTTCGTCTCACGGATCTTGGTTCGCGCTTTATGGCATTTCCACTATAATAAGTGTAGGAATTCATGGGTACCTGGGATCACTTGGACCATTTCCACTCTGTGTTGTCTTCTTGACCTTTGCTCTGAGTGGTTGGTCGAACACGCAGAATGTGCAGGAGAGGAGGGTTCCTCAAATGCCCAACTCGATTTGGACTTAACTCTGCGTCCGCCGGGACCAACAGCAGAGGAAATAGAAAGGGAGCTTTCCTCTTTTCTTTCTTCCTTTGGAAATAGGGGAGTGACCTCAAGTGTACTCCAAAATACTAAGATTAAGCTACAATTGGATGTCGCGTCCCCCGCGAAGCTTTTGAAGATCCGGGAACTTCTGCGGGATCTCCAAAGCAGACCGGTTCCTGCTTTCCAAGCGAGAGATGCTTTATTGAAAGCTCTCGCCCGACGGGAGAGGGACCAGACGCGTGATCCATGAGGTTGGCCGCCCAGCGTCGGCTCTACGAACTAACAAGGGGTCGGTCGCGAGAGAGAGAAGGGGTGGTCCGGCGGGTAGGGGGGCTCGTCAGGGGGAGCAAATCGATAAGTCCTTCGAAAGATAGGGCTTCCCGGAGAATTTGGTGTCTTTCTATTTGGAAACAAAGGACCATAAGTCTAATTAGACACTTCGTCTTTATTGTTCCACTAGCTAGGATAAAATTATAAGATGTCCCTTGCATTATTACAACCTTCTTTTTTGATGTCAAAGACCAGAAGCTACGCGAAAATTTTCATTGGATCTCGGTTGTTCTTAACAGCGATGGCTATTCATTTAAGTCTTCGGGTAGCACCACTAGACCTTCAACAAGGTGGAAATTCTCGTATTCCTTATGTACACGTTCCTGCGGCTCGGATGAGTATTCTTGTTTATATCGCTACGGCTATAAACACGTTCTTGTTCCTATTAACAAAACATCCCCTCTTTCTTCGCTCTTTCGGAACCGGTACAGAAATGGGTGCTTTTTCTACGTTGTTTACCTTAGTTACTGGGGGGTTTCGGGAAGACCTATGTGGGGCACCTTTTGGGTGTGGGATGCTCGTTTAACCTCTGTATTAATCTCGTTCCTTATTTACATGGGTGCACTGCGTTTTCAAAAGCTTCCTATCGAACCGGCTCCTATTTCAATCCGTGCTGGACCGATCGATATACCAATAATCAAGTCTTCAGTCAACTGGTGGAATACATCGCATCAACCTGGGAGCATTAGCCGATATGGTACATCAATACATGTTCCTATGCCCATTCCAATCTTGTCTAACTTTGCTAACTCCCCCTTCTCAACCCGTATCTTGTTCGTTCTGGAAACACGTCTTCTTATTCCATCTTTTCTCGAATCTCCTTTAACGGAAGAAATAGAAGCTCAAGAAGGAATACCAAAACCTAGTTCACTCGCTGAGTCTCTTTGCATCCATGGCTGAATGGTTAAAGCGCCCAACCGGGCAAATTCGTAGGTTCGATTCCTGCTGGATGCACTTTTTACGTTCAGTTCAATCGCTGCTCACGGAATTGATACATATAGCTCGCCCTTATAGCTTATGGGGCACTTCACTCGCTCAACACTCGTTCAAAACATCCACTCTTTCTTCACTCGCTAGGGAAAGATAAAGGATAGATGACTTAAAATCCCGCTTAGAGATCGCAAAACTATAGTCAGAGTAGGAGTTCCCATCCGTCGAGGCCTCGTTTTACCCGCCCTTGGGACTGGAACTGATTGGTTGCTTGTTGTGACAGCCAAGGTCTGAACATTGTCCCACTTCCCTCATCGGGTTCCTCTCTGTTCATCATGGGGTTGTTGGGATAAAGGTGGGTTTGAGACGCGCGGGTACTCTTGATGCGAAAGGATATGGATCTAGAAGCCGAGATCAAAGCGTTAGTTCAAGATAAGAGCCCTTACGAACCAAGGCTTCTAAAGTTGCCGGAGGGTCCATCATCAAGAATGGCCTAAGATGGTCAGAAGCATTCCTAACAATGCTAGCCACAGCGGAATACTCCGGCAAAACGGGTCGCCATTTCGCGGAATCGAACGCCCTAAGAGGAAGATTTCATTTTCTTTCTGTTTCGTGGAACGAAGTTGATCCATGGTCATCGGGATGTCTATGTTGAAAGAGAACCTAACCTGAAGAGTCATTGGTTTTCCAGGTCGGAAAATGAAGTAAACAACTCAGGTGGACAAGAGGCGAACCACTCAGCTGATGAGTCAGCTATACTTTTTGAAAAATAGCCTAATGAGGAGACGATCATAACCTCTGAGCTCAAAGATGGAAAGCAGATTCCTTTTTTCAGGTTTTGCATAGCTTCCCAAGCGCCCGGCTTTCTTTTTGGGTTCCGAGAGGCAGAGTAGCTTCAGCATTAGGGTATGGGATAGAGTTCGAGTGAGGCATCAACCATAGATTGCGGAACTTTCGAGATGCTTCCTTGCGAAAGCCAACGGAGTCTGTACTGTAACTCAACCTTCTCATCCATGGAAGGATTCCTTATTCGATGATAAATGTCAATCGAGGGCACCCTCATTTCCAGAGAGAGAATCAGGCTGCACAGAAGGGGGAAAGCCCTCCTACTGAGCAAGATCATTAATTAATATTAATAAGGAAGCACTTAACTTAGGGCAGCCAGTCTCACTTCACACAGCACAGCGCCTTGCTATTTGCATTCATCCTTGTAACTTACCGAAGCGAGGATCTCATGCTATCATTGAACGGCTACCGAACCGCCATACTCAGGTAACCGGTCTAGGTTCCAAGTACATCAACACCCCATAGCTACTTAGGGCCGCAACGCAATAAGGCTTTTCGCTCTAGTTGGGCAATGCAAGGAGGCCTCTTTCGCCATTCTTTCTAAATGAGAAACTTTTATTAGTTCAGTTCGGTATAACATCGATGAGAGGATAATTTTTTAACAGAAGCATATGATTGCCCCTCAATCGCCAGGTGGCTCGCTCCAGGTGCATGAGTAGCTTTGCTGGCTCTTATAGCGGCCTCTTTCAGTGGTTCTTGCTTGCTCTTTAAAGCTGATCTGGTGCTGTCTCGTTCCTTCAGTTTGTTCTGATTCCGATGAAGGATACTATATTCCGCCTACACAACTACCTTGCTTGGTGGTTCAAAATGGAAGTCTAGGTATCTGCTTAAGTGGTCTGCTCGTACCGTTCCAAAAAGAGCTGCGCTGACAGGCGTATTTTAAAATGTGTTTCCGGGCTCACATATCTAAATTTCAGCGAGATAGGGTGCGGATAGGTGGAATGGAAATTCCACTCCAATCCCTTTAATGGATCCCCGAAGGAGACGGGTGCAAATGGAATTTCAATCAAAGGCGCTATGACCACTGAGCATGCCAACAAGGCAAACTCATAAAATCGTCTCCTGTCCCAGGTCACTGAAAGGGAGATACTCGCAGCCGAGCTCTCGTCCCACTCCCGCTGCCAACTTCGTGATAGAACGACCATGCGAAGGGATACGGATAGGCTGCCCTCCCACACTTAAGGCATTGTGTTACACCTTAAATGTCTGGATTTAGCGTTATTGTCAAGCATCTCATTCACTACTAAAAGAAAGGTATGGATATTCTGCTCGAAAGCTTGACGAAGAAGCGTAAGCAAAAAGCATATTTTAGGAAAGAGGTCCAGGTAGCTCAGCTGGTTACAGCTAATGAATGAAAAAACGTGTGTGCCGATTTAGATTTCCCGTCTTAAGCCCCACCTCGGTAGCTCAGCGGTAGAGCGGCCTCTTGTATAGTTCAACAGGTAGTCGGACGTGGGTTCAAATCCCGCTCGAGGGAAAAAACAGAGAGAGCAGCGAAGGGGCCTTTCCTCGCTTCTGTCTTTTTTTTTATAGATCAGTTCAGTCTGTAAACAAGCAGGTGATTTTTAGCCGGGAAACTGTAAACTTTCGAAAGCAAGCTCACCCACTCTCCCCCAGTGGTTAAACTCTAGGATCTGATTTGAATTCCATATTAAAGAAAAGTAGACATCTGCGGCCTAAAACTACACGAGTGGATAGATTTACGGCTACTACTTCCCGATCTTTGTGAACGTTCACTTCAATAGGATATCTCGTTTTACTAGCTCGACTATAGAGAGAGGAACTAATGGTAACGAGCCAGACCAGATGATCTTCAAAGACATCCTTCACCGATCGATTAGATGAGAGAGGTCATTCAGTGTAAGACCTGAGGTAGACGAACGGTTCACTGTCAGTGGTTCCATACGTCAATCCCATCCTGAAGGAGCTAATGAAAGCCTGAATTCAATATGAAAGTGGGCTCTTCCTCTTCGATTCAAGCAAGTCGACCATTGAATCTATTAAACTGGGCCGCTTCTTCCCCCTCCGCAGGAAGACTTCCTTCTTTCCCTTGCCTGGCTGGTTATCTCAAACCGGCATTCGAACCCACAAAGCCTAGCCGCACCGCCATTGTGCTATTAGCCCTACGCCTAGAAAGCCTCAGTTACAGACTGAACTTACCTATAGGAGGAGGTTTGATTCCATTGCCATTTACTGTTCCATGCGATCTTTACACCGACACCCCCATCTATCCAAGCCTAGTAAAAGGAGAATCAGCTGAAAGAAGAGAGAGCCCCCTTCCCGTTGTTGTCTCTAACTAAACCACCACCAGTACACTCTTCCACTACAGATGCTGAAAACCCGATTCCTTCCCAGGCTTTTCTCTTCTCCCTGACTTGCTAGTACTCAACCTAGAGATGAAAGAAGTAAGAGCCCCCTCTTGTCGCAAAATAGTAAATTAGGTTCAGTTGGAAAAACAGCTATAAATGACCACTACGAACGAAGGATGCAAGTCCTCTCAACAAACTCCATATCTGCAGAAAAAATGCCACTATTCTCAATTCAATATAGTAAGGCGTTTCTAATCTTCCTCGCAGCAAGACTTCTGAAAGCCAGTTGCTAAGAAAAAGATTAGAACAAGAGGGCTCTGGCGATTTCGGAACTAGCTTGACTCATTCCACCCGGGGTGAACGAGAACTAGTTCATCACCAACATGCTTAACTCCTAGGACTTTTGGGATTTAATACTCTTACTCTTTTTGACCAAAAGATGGTGAAGAGAGGAGCTAGATAGAAGTAGTTTTTAATGAGGAGAGGGAAATCTGGCCATTAGTTAAGTCATTTTTTGTTTGGTCATAAGTTGGTTAGAGAAAAGTAATTAGTTCAGTTTTAGGCATACACTAATAGTAGGTTACGATTCAAAAGAAAGAGAGATTCAAGCCAATCGACCGGCTAAGAGGACTATTCAAATTCTAAAGTAGATGTTCATGCTCATATAGCTGCAAAATGACACTTGACCTATTTCCCTTATAGACAGACATGGAAATTAGAAAGTGTCTATCTTATATAGCTGTCAAATGAGACTTTCACTTTTCCCTTCGTAGAGCAGATCATGAATTGAAAAAGTTCTATCTGGGCAAAATGCTAATTTTTTATAGATTTCCGGGCACCAATCCCGACTTCTCCCGTTGCTATAGTATAATAAGAGATAGGCGCCTACCTTAAAGTCACCTATCGACACTCAAGCCTGTTCATCCTGCTTTCTTTCCTTTATAAGACTGGAAGAGATAGAAGGCTCTCCTGTCTTTGCCCATTGATAGATATGCCTGAAGTACCGGAACTCTCTCCCTTAGGGCTCTCTTTCCGTAAGCCGGTGAGGAGTGAGGGATCTACTGAGACTGAGCCATCTTCGCTAGCCGATCTGTCAGTTCTATAGGGTATGAAGCTCTTTCCTAGTATTGGGTTCAGGAATTCATGCTCGCAGGTAAAGAGACTAAAGAAACAAGAACATAAACAGTCTCTTGAAAGAGGGGAGCATTTGCCCACTCTGTGGTACATGAGCTCCTCGTCCAACTTACTGTCTTCCGATTTCATATCAGTTACAAGCTTGTCATTTCAATCACTTGCTACCTTTAAAGGAAAGCAGTTCGCCCATTGAATCGATTAATCTAAGTCCCCTTCCTATAGAGTGAACGTGAAAGCCGGTCTATAGTCCACCATGCTAATGGAATGTCAGTGACACAAGTAGTAAATTCATTCGTTGACAGGAGCGAGCAGAAAGAGAGAGCGTAAAGAGGGTCTTATCATGATGGCCTGCTTTCCTTTCTCCTGTTGCAGTAGACTACAGTCTTACCACTAGAATAGAAAATAGGTCCAAAAGCAGGAAGCACAGTCAGGAAGGTAAGTTAGAACTCTTTTCTGAATTCCTATCTATAAAGTCAGGCTTGTCTATACAATACAACAAAGTGAGGTAAAATCATTAGTTAGGCTAGTGGGAAAAAATTACTCTGTTTCCGTCTTTTGAAAGAAGTAAGGTGTTCTTCCTTCATCCTCCATCCACACTACGAGGGCCGGCCGGAATATGTTTGGCTGTTCAATAGCCAATTCCATTTCGGTTCATTTTGGTATGCTGGGAAGATGAAGAGA